TTTTTTTTATTTAGTAACTTTTATGTCACTGAAAAACAATCAAACCATTAAAATTAAGACAGTATGCTGCAAATATTGGTACAAAGGTTGAAACGCTGAAAAATGTACATATTTTTCAACACATAACCGTCATAACAGTAAGCATAGATGGGCACAATATGCTTCTTTTTAAACATAGGCCTCATATGGGGGAAAACAGTGAGAAATATTGGCAGGCATCTGAAGAGGGGAAATGCATGCACAGTACAGAACCATAATAATACCTGGAGTTCTGCTTGATGCTGGCATCACTGATCATTCCCAATACATAAGAGACAAACTGGTTTTAAAAACTCAGTAGTCATCTCTCTAGTCCTGGGAACTGCTGCAATGAACACAGCAAGCAAAATGGGTGGAAATTACAAGGGAGTCATTACCGGCTAAATATCAGGAGAAACTTCCTAACTGTAAGAGTGGTTGAGCCTCGGGAGGTAGAGGATGCTCCTTCGCTGGACGTTTTCAAGCGGAGGCTGGACGACCATCTTTTGGGTATGTTGTAGGGCTATCTTTCGGCTGTGCTCCTGCAGAGTGCAGGGGGTTGGACTAGATGTCCTGCAAGGTCCCTTTCAACTCTTAACATTCTATGATTCTATGAAAACCTTAGCTGAATGCACGTCTCTTTTTTCTTGGCATCCTGACCCTTAGATATTACTCCCCATTGAAGTCTAGGAAAGGATTATTTGAACACTCCCAGAAACATCCCAATGTACTCTGGTGTATTCTCATAATCCTAAACCTAGATCAAAAGGAAATTATATCATTAGCATATCAGTAACAAACTTTCTCTATTTGAGTCACTTTTGCTAGATAGGCAGCTGGGCAGTCCTCTGCACCAGCAAACAGAGTGCTTGAAGCAGAAACAACGACTAAGTAGTAAACATGTAATAAATTAAATAACTGACAGTTTGCTGCCCTTTATTAGTACCATAAAATCTACAATCTGATGAGAGCTGCTTTGCCTGCCTAGTGATAAAGCTGGACCACTGACAAAACAAGTGCTTTGGACAGCACAGTGTAACTCCCCAGACCATTACTTATATTGTAGGCAGAGACAGGTATCGGGGTACAAATGTTTAACATGCTCCTATCAGGGGTGCATCCTTCGACCAGGTTCCATCCATCAGCATCAATCAGGGCTCTTTTTGTAGAAAAAGCCCAGCAGGAACTCATTAGCATAATAGGCCACACCCAACAGCAAAACTCATTAGCATATCAGGCCACACCTCTGACAGCACCACTCATTAGTACATTAGGCCACACCCCCATGCTACCAGAAGTGTGGTCATCCAGCCACATCCACCTTTCCCTTCTTATTCTGTTTACCTTGTTTGTTGTCAAAACCCAGGGCTTTTTTTGTAGCAGGCCCCACACCCCTAATGTAGCCAATCCTAATGAGTTTCTGCTATAGGGTGTGGCCTATTATGCTAATGAGTTCCTGATGGGCGTGGCCAACTCAGGAGCCAGCAGGAACTCTGTTCCTGTGCGTTCCTGCCCAAAAATAGCCCTGACATCATAATGACATACCGAGTAGGCAGCAATGTACTAACTGGCACAAAGTCGGGAAGGCTTTTTCCTTAGGGACCATAAGCACTCCCCACCCCCTTCTCTCTAGTTTCCTTTGCCAGTGTCCAGCTACTTAAGATAGAATGAAATTAAATACTTCTGATAATGGACCCTACAACATTTCAAGGAAAGATTTAACCAAGGTTTTCATCAATACTCACTTGAGGCAGATGATTCTTAAGAGTATTTGCTCTGCCTAAAGGAAATGCCATTTATATCTCCCTGGAAAACATCAACCCTGGATCAGTGTGCAGATAGATTTTTCAGTCCTTGTTGCTATAATGGACAGGCACTTTATAAAACACCCGTATGCTAATAGAGACCCATCCCCCACAAGATTACTTCATCTGTAAAGATAGGAGTTAGTTGCTCAAAATGAGCAAAAAAAAGCATCACAACTGTTATTGGATATTTTGGGCTTGGATATTGCTGATCACGGTTTCTTATATTAGAATTATATTGTTATATGGTCAAAATTTGATCTAAGCTGGTAGAAACTCACAGCCAATTACACATCTCTTTGGACCGTGGTCTGCAACAATTTATGATAAATGTGTTGGGCTTTATGGTGCCACAAGATTTATCTTGCTGTTGAAGAGGGAAAGGCACTTTCCTGAACAAAAGGATTCTCATCCTGCTATCCTTCAGAAACAACCACAGATCTTTTAGGGATAACCATTTGCTAGTCCTTACCAGGGCTTTTTTTGTAGAAAAAGCCCAGCAG